AAGTTAAATATTTACAGTGACCATATCTTCATCTCACCCCAGGGGAGTCTTGAGTCTTGTTCCTGTCTGTAGGAGTCAGTTGTTTTGATGGACATTATGAGTCCCCGGGGTCCAACATCTTTTCTCCACTGGCCCTCCAGAGCGCTTGGAATCTTCTCAGTTCTCACCCCATTATTGTTCAGATATGGACCCTCAAATGTAGTCTAGGAAAGGTGACATGTTATGCCATTGTTGTCTACCAAAACCCTGGTTAAAATAATCTCATCTGTCTAGATTGTGAGTCACTGAGCAGGAGTCTGAATGGGCCATAGCATGGCTCCTTTTTATGATGAGGAAGATGGCTGGGGAAGTCTGGAGGAGACCACAGGGGCAGTCAAGAGGCCTCCCCACTGCAAGGGAGAAAGGTGGGAGGAGGAAATCTCATGGAAAGTCACTAGTGGGTATTTTTTGTTTTTACTGGCTCATAAGTTATACAGCACCTTGATTTTATTTTGGAGAACTACTCTTCTCTCTTTGTGAATGTTTTTTAAGATTCCCAGTTAAGTATCCCCTCAAATGAAAGGATAAAGGTATTATATAGCTGTCTTTCAGAAACTGGCTCCTGAGTGGAGCAACACAAGACCTAAAGTAGTTGGAGTCCATCCATCTCAGTGGTAATGCCCTGAAGAGATTGTTTGATAGCTCCTGCTACCTAGATCTGCAGAGATGTTCTGATTCCTGGCCATCCTGAGCCTGGGTCTGCAGCTTTTCTTGCTGTCTTCCAGTGAATTTACTTTTCCTCTTTTCCCCCTCTTGTCCTGCATTAACTAGATTTGGTGTTTGCTTGTAACCAATAATTCTACATAAATGCACTAAAAAAACCTTGTTTAATATCATGATTTAATCTTTCCCCCTCTGTAGTAGCAGAGAGAAATTTAAGATGCATTACTAAATGCCCTATCTGAAGGAACTTGTGTCTTTAATACTTCAGTTGGAATTTTGCAGGCCTGTCTCTGATCAAACTCTGCAAGGAATTAAGCGGCCTTTGTGGCCTTCTTTAAAATGTGTCCTAGACAGCTTAGATTTTACTAGGGAAAAAAAGGGAATGGGTTGGTTGGTTTCTTTATTGCTTTCTTTGTCTCCGTGGCCCATTGTTTAACTTTGTGCTGTGGTCTATATTCTCCAAGAGGAAGAAAAACATTTTATTTCCCCATTTTGAAAGTGATGCATACGTATGATAGGAAATACTAAGAGACAAAACGATGAAAACAAAACCACCCATAATCACCAGATAATTACTTCTTACCATTTTCCTGTACTTACAGTCTTTAATATATAACATATATAAAGTTTATAATGTATATAAAGTAAAAATAATGTTTACTTTACAAATGGGATCATATTGTTTTGTAAACTTAAAATTACTTAATATTTGGCAATTTTTGCATGTCATTAAATTATTTTCAGTATGATTTTTAATGGTTGCATAGCAGTCTTGCTGCATTATTTACTACTCACATTTAGCAAATCTAAAATTTAGAATTCTTTTTATGAGCACTCATAAAAATTAAGATTAGTTTTCTGTTCTGAAATTGGTGAAAATATTGCCTATTGCTATCCACAGCCCACACTGATGTCCAGCATATATTACTACGCTCTTTGCTGTAGAACGACCAATGGTAAATGAAGTAGATGCATTTTTGTGTGTGTGTGTGTGATTCAGGTTATAAGCTTTGCGCAGAACTTGTCATGCTGGAAAAGTTACAGAAAAAGTGAAACGACCTTCAGTCCAGCAGGCCTTCTGCAACTTCTACCTCTGATAACAGGCTGCCCTAAGAGAGAGTTCGTGTATAAGCCTTTTGTTATCAATACTCTTTAATCTCATACCTGTACCAAGCCCACAAAGGTATGCTAATGAGAGCTCTAACACTCCTGGACTTGACTGAAAATTTTTTCTCAGTAGGTTTCAGAAAGTGCTGGGAAATATAAACCCAGCAACGTGCAAGGGGAAAGCAGACACGATTCTGGATGGCCATTTGCTTCACTGGGATGTGAAAGCTCTTTTGAGTACTAGAATCAGGTAAGGATGGCTATGTTTTCTTGGAGAAGGAGGGAAGGAGGGCTATTGAATTATCCTATTGTCTCGGAGATCTTGAAGAGACCCTAAAGCTTCAATTTATCTCATAGCTTTGGAATCCTCTTTTGCCAAATTGTTACCCTTTAGTCTCTCCTTGAAAAACAGGGACCCTGTTCTGTGAAGATGTGGCAAATGGCTTGCTAATGTGCCATTAGAGCCTCATTATTGAGTTTTCAGGATTATTACAGATTAAATGTGAACCATTATAAAATCTATAATCCTTTAAGATATATTTATTGGCTTAGCTCTACCAAGGTGTGTTTGCATTCTAAAGGCGGGAAGGCATCTGCTTTAACATTCAAATTCAGATTTTAGTCACCAATGAGAAATAAATAGTGCTAACCCAAGTCAGCTAAAGTGGTTCAAAAAGAATGTTACTGTGTTGGCAACAATTGTGGCAGCTAAACAGAATGGTGAAACACGTGAGGTAGATCATTCAAGTCCACGTAATATGTGGAAACGCTAATGTTAAATCAAGTGCCATTGTTGAGTGGTATAAAATGTCATCAGCTCACCAACGCAAAACTAGAAATAAAAAAGAAGTATTATTTTGTACCCTCTCTGTTTGATACACAGCCTTCCGCTACATGACCACATTCACATACACAATCTGCCTGTCCATGCTGTGGGGTTGGGAGATCCAACTGTCAGTCATCTTGGCTAGTAGGAAGGCTTAGAGAACCAAAGCTCTGAGCAAGAACTAGAGATACTGGGTTTGAAGTTTTCTAGCGGAAGAGCTGCTAATGAGTAGTAATTCTCTGTAGATCCTTAGAGTTCAGAGGCATATCTTAGATGTGTTTCCTGACTCCTGGGAACTGACAATAGAAGTCGGTCATAAGTCACAGAACTGATTTGTTTTGCTCCACATTTGAAGTTGTCCCTGCTGCTGGGGGGTAAGGGGATTATGGTGGTGATAAGTGGATGAGGAAATCTTCCGAATAACCAGAAGATTTGGGAAGATGTTCCAGTCTTTTTGCTCACTCCCAGTTCAGCCTACTCTCTGAAGTGTCTGCTGTTAGAACTGTTATGTCACCTCTAGCCCAGGGATTGCAAAATCAAATGCTTGCACAGACCAGGCAGTAACTTAGATAAATAAGACTGGGTAGAGACTGGCAGGTTGAAAAATATATCCCCATATCTAAAGAGAACAGCAGCACTGAGTTTTAAGAAACTCTTGGCACATGTGAATGCTGGCTCAGTGTCGCTATATTTTATGAATTATTTTGAGAGATAATTTGAAATTTCAGGATTGTAAATGTAAACTCTTTATAAACTCTAAATGCTATTTTTTTAATCTTCTTACCTAAGTCAAATTGAATAAGAAATGGACCGTACTAAATATATCTACATTGTTGCCATTTTTTAACTCTTGGGGGTAGCAGCATCTTAGCCACAAATCCCCTATTTTGGGGGCAAATCCTGGGATTCCAATGCCATTTAACCTCTCAGGCTTCCTAAAGCACAGGTTAAGAAAATGAGCTCTGAAGGTCCCACCTGTGATTTCAATCATCCTTTAACACTAGCCTCCTGTAAATTCCCTTAAAGGACAGGGAAGAGCACAGACTCTTTGCTACTTTGGAATCTATTAATACATGCTACCAGTTTGAGCATTTATTGAACAAAAGAAGTGTTGTTGCTTCATCTCATCTTATTTTTATAAGAAATTTATGAGATAGGTTTTACAAGAACTTTGAGATAAGATGATCATAATCATATTCCTATTTACAGATGGGTAAGCTGACGTTCAGTATTGGGGGAGGATTTCCCAAAGTCACCCAGTAAGTGGCAGAAATGAAATTTGACCGCTGGAGTCAGATTTCAGAACTAAATATTCAACCACCATATTATTCTTCTTATTATTACATTTTATGGGGTTTTAACTTGTATAGTTCCTCTGAGTAATGATTAATTCTCCCTCCCTTAAAACATCTTAAGGAATCTGTAATGACATTTGATACTTTTGTAGAACATAGGAGCATTTTAAATTATCGTCCTTTGATGCAAGGTTTGCAAAATGTTTGGGATCCTTCTGATCACTCAAGGGGGATGTGTTTTGTAATGCCTGCCTTCAGACCAGAGATGCTAATTCCCTTTTCCATGCCCATTTCTCACCAGATAGTAATTGAAAGTTAAAACATAGAGTGTAAAGGCCAAAGTTACGGGCTTCATCTCCAGGTGAACAAGATAATTCTACTAAGTCCATAACCTCAGAATACTTTCCTAACCCCGGCCAGCCTTCTCCCAAATACAAGAAGTATGTGTGCATCAGTCATCCTTGTCAACAAGGGCACTCTCAGCCCAGACCCATGTACAGATCCATAAACAGCATCATCACCGTAAATGAAAGCACTGTGATATGGCTGAGGAATGCAAGTAGATTTTAGCTCAGTGGCCAATGCTAAATCATGAATGGTTGCTGCCAGAAGGAGTGTTGTATTGAGAAAGATTTGGAAACCACATTCGAGCTTTTCAAAAAGAATGCTGTAATTGATTGGTCTTGTCTGCCATGGGCTTGGTCTATGGAATGAGTGGTAAGTGCTCTGTACCTGTCATCCTTGGTATAGTCCATTAATATGAAAGAGTTAAGATATCTTAACTTCTCTGTACTAAAAAATACAATAAACTAGCCGGCGAGGTGGCTGCGCCTGTAGTCCCAGCTACTCGGGAGGCTGAGGCAGGAGAATGGCGTGAACCCGGGGGGCCGAGCTTGCAGTGAGCCGAGATCGCACCACTGCACTCCAGCCTGGGCGACAAAGCGAGACTCTGTCTTCAAAAAAAAAAAAAAGATATCTTAACTTCAGTTGGCTTAAAGCTTTTGCATTTTAATTTGTGATTTCTTCCTCTTCAATATTTCTTCTTCCATCTCTGCTGTACCTGAGAAGAAATGGCCAAACGCACCTTCTCTAACTTGGAGACATTCCTGATTTTCCTCCTTGTAATGATGACTGCCATCACAGTGGCCCTTCTCAGCCTCTTGTTTATCACCAGTGGGACAATTGAAAACCACAAAGGCAAGTGTCATGGGCTCTCTTAGATGCAATTTTTAGGCCTGTAGGAAACTTCTTGATTACTGTGGACACCAAAGAGAAAAACAGTGTCTGCTGATAGTTCTACGTGTACTTAAGCAGCCTGGAATAGCCGTTTCCCTTTGCATTAATTGCCCTTTCGCATTGATAGCAGTTTTTATCAAGTTTACCTTTGTCCCCAATAGCCAGCTGACAGGCATTCTGACATGTACGTGTTTGCCATTCGATTTTCCATTGATATAAGCACAGCTCAAGATTTGTCAAGGTCTGGTAAGGGCAGCTTTTGCCCTGAGCCTCTAATCTTTCTCTTTGCCTCCTTGTAGACATCATCTTCTCCTGGGGGCAAAAGGAGAATGAAAAACTGAATGAACGTCAGTTAGTCTGTGAAGAGCCTTAGAGAATGGGGTCTCAAACATAAATCCTTACAAGGGCTAATCAAGTTTTGCAAATGAGGTGGAGTGAGGAGGTGGACCGAGGAGGAGGCAGGTGCAATTCTGGTGAAGAAGGCCTACAGCCACTCCCAGGTGCAGCTGTTTGTTGTAGAGAGAGCACATGATCTCAGATCGCCTGAGTTTTCCAGAGAAGCTGGAAATTAGAATTTTTAGATATCTCATGATTTTCTTTTCAATGTTGGAAACTAAGTTTTTGAGAACAATGTAGGCTACACACAAGATTGGCAGTGGGTCTTGGTGGAGCCTCTGTTTCAGTCAGTATTAGGTTACATAACTGTTAAATGAGTAGAGAAGACAGGTGAAGATTGAAGCTCTGACCAAAGTAAAGACAGGGATGGCCTTAGGCCAAATGGAGAAGATGGTATTTTCTACCTCAGTTTTCCCTTTTGTAGCCTCTTTTCCTGCATATTCTCTACCATATCCCAGGGCTTTGAATTCCTAGCAAACACAGAGGATAAGAGATCCTATGATCCAGCAGTAGGCACAGCAGGGTCATAGACTGATAGAAGTGAAAGGATCATTAAGAATTATTCAGTTTTGGCTGAGCCTGGTGGCTCACGCCTATAATGCCAGCACTTTGGGGGGCCAAAGTGGGCGAATCACCTGAGGTCAAGAGTTCGAGACCAGCCTGGCCAATGTGGCAAAACCCTGTCTCTGCTAAAAATAAAAAAAAAAAAAAAGCTGGGCATGGTGGTGCACACCCACAATCCCAGCTACTCGGGAGGCTGAGGCAAGGCAGGAGAATCACTTGAACCCAGGGATCAGAGGTTGCAGTGAGCTAAGATCACACTACTGCACTCCAGTCTGGGTGACAGAGCAAGACTCCATTAAAAAAAAAAAAAAAGAAAAAGAAAAGGAATTATTCCATTTTACCTCTTAAAATTAGGAAATCAGGAGGCTGAGACTCAGGGAGGTTATTAATAATTATGGTAACTATTCTTATAGCAGTAGTTACTGTTTATTAAATGGTTTCTGTGTTGAGCACTATAGTGAGGATTCTAGAATATTTTCTCATCGAATTATCACAAAAATCCTATAAGGGTTGATGCTAGCCCTACTGTTTACATTAGTTTCATTTTACATTTGGGGAAATGGAGACCCTGAGATTGCAAATAACATACCCTTGACTATGTGTTAGGTTTGGCTTTAGTTGGCATGACATTCCTATGCTGGTAGCAGTGAAGCAATAGCGAAGATGCCTGCTCCACTCCTTGCAATACTTGATGTCTTGAAGAAAATCTCGGCTTGGGAATGGATTCTAACTCCATCTAGAATTTGGTCTACAGAGCATCAGATTCTGAGTTTGAGGATCTGGATTGCATACCAGAATCATCACATGCTCTCCATTAACTATTGGTTAAGTCAATTTTCTGATTTTCAGTTTTCTCATCTGTAAAACTGAGGAGATTATGTTAGGTGATCTCTAAGTTTTTTGAGCTCTGAATTTCTAGGATTTCATAAGGAATCAGCTATAAATCTCTTGCCTAAGTACTTTCTGACCACGAATGCCTTGTGACACTGATATTTGATGCCTTGGCAACTCCTGACTCTTGTCTGGGGAATGGAAATAAACAAAATAATGAATATATAAAATGTTTAAATAGGTAAAGAAAATCAAAGCTACATATTAGCCATTGCTCCCAGTTTATAATATTAGTGAACATAGTTATTGTTCAAAACAACCCCAGAAAGCAGGATTTTATTATAATCTCCATTTTATAGACAAGAATTGGGGTGAAATAGGTTAAGCAATTTGATCGCTTAGTAGGTGTTAGATTCAGGTTTCAAACCAGGCAGTTTGTTTCTGGCAACTATCTTCTCACAAAAATCCTGTATGTCATTCTGCTTCCCTTGATATTTGTATGTGTGTGTATAATAAATATGTATGCATACATTAATATAGAATATATGTGTATAAACACACACATATAGATATGAATATATAAATATTAGAATAATTAAGGTGAAATTATATCAACATGTATACAGTGATCTAGGTTGCATTAAAAATGAGTCTTTAGAAGGTCAAAGAAGATCAGACCCAAGGTAGAGCCAGCAGGGTGGCATCCTGCAGGTGAGGAGTTGAGTCGGATCTAGGTGTGATGGAAATGGACTAACTCTGAAGCAGGTGGTGGAGTTTGGTAGGTGGAGAGGAAAGGAGTGAGGAGTCTGGATAGAAAGAATGGAAGAAACCAATCCCCAGATGCTGCATTCAGTAAACCTGGCACCTGTTTAGTTTAGCTGGAAAAGAAGAGCAGGGTGTTGAGGGAAGGCAGTGAGTTTGACAAGGAATGGCTCATGATGAGGAGTTGAAGGACATTTGACAGAGGCCTTGATCATTAGTCTGAAATATCTCTCATCCAAGAAAAAGATCCCGTTTAGGATTATGATTTTTAAACAGATTCCTGGGATGTTTCTCTCTGTATATTTTTATGTATAAGAAAATATATAAAGAGTTTTCCTTATGAACCTGAGCCTATATGCTGTATTCTAATTGATGTTGACAAATAAGAGGGCTGAAATGTTGGTTCTCAAATCTCTTATTCTGTTTTAGATTCAGGAGGCCATTTGTTTTCAACCACCCCAAACCCTCCAGCCACCCAGGGCTCCACAGTCACCCAGAGTTCCACAGCCACCCAGCGCTCCACAGCCACCCAGAGCTCCACAGCCACTCAAACTTCTCCAGTGACTTCAACCCCAGAGCCTCCTCTATTTCAGAACTTCAGTGGCTATTATATTGGTGTTGGACGAGCTGACTGCACAGGACAAGTAGCAGATATCAATTTGGTAAGTAGGCAATGGGCTCCTTAAGGAGACTGTGAAACAACCAATTTTATTATTTTACAAACTGCATTCGTTTCTGATTATTACAACATCATCATTTTCTTCTAGCTTTTTAATTGACCTTGCTGCTGTCTAGCACTATGAATTTCATACTAGAAAGAAGAGGAAAACTTTTATTCAATCATAACTCCCCTGTAAAGTCCATTGGCCTTTTTTCTTTTTTTTTTTTTTATGAGCAGAAGTGGCAGAGATGGCAAACTCAAATATGACAGGGGGTGAGCCGGCACCATAAATGACATCACCAGGCCAGTGTAACATAATAAATGTCTAGTGAATCCTCAGTTTGGGAGTGGGAGGCAGTAGGAAATGGTGGGGACTTTGAGGGAAAAAAAAGCACAAAGAAAGTATATGGATTTAGCTGATTGTTGCCATATAAGAATGGGGGCTCAGGGCTGCCCTATCTTGCAGTATTTTAGAAGAAGCCCCAAAATCCCTAGGTTAAAGAGTTGAAGTTTCAAATATCTTACTTGAAAAATAAAGGCAACTCTAGCTAAAACTGGAAACCTAGGTTGCACCAATATGTGAAAGCAAATAAAACTTCTATGTGTCAGGTGTGGCCTATTGACTGCTAGTCTTGTCTATGTGATGGAAATACCCATTTATGTCAGTGCTTCCCTAGGAAACCAGAGCATGAAGTTGTCTAATGGGATTCACTCCCTCCCTCTAAGTAATCTTTACATTCCAGGTATGATTCTCAACTGTATGTTCTGAAAAGTGATCCTGGAATGTGACCCCTAAATAAACACTCCCAGGAGGGGTAAAGCAAACAGTAGAAAAAATTCTGAAGACCTGGGTATAGTTTTACGGGTAAATTTTATGACACAGTGAGAGAAGTGACTTGGGATAGGTGTATGTGATCTGATTTGGCTTAGAGTGTTGTAGAGTCCTAATAAGTCAGGGGCCCCAGCGGTGGGGAGAACAATTGTTCTGAGAGATGGCTAATCATAGATAACCTGCTGCCACAACATCCTGTTCCCAAATACCTCACTCTGCATGTAGCCCCAGCAGCCCAACCTCGTTCTGCATATGTCCCACTCCAGCATGACCCTATAAAACTTCCCTCCAGCCCCTGCTTCTTTGCGTGTTGCGGGAAGTCAGGGATGGAGGGACCGACTGAAGCCATGGCAGAAGAACATAAATTGTGAAGATTTCATGGACATTTATTAGTTCCCCAAATTAATACCTTTATAATTCCTTACACCTGTCTTTACTGCAGTCTCTGAAAATAAACTGTGAAGATTTCATGGACACTTATCACTTCCCCAATCAATACCCTTGTGATTTCCTATGCCTGTCTTTACTTTTATCTCTTAATCCCATCATCTTTGTAAGCTGAGGAGGATGTATGTCACCTCAGGACCCTGTGATGATTGCATTAACTGCACAAATTGTTTGTAGAGCATGTGTGTTTGAACAATATGAAATCTGGGCACCTTGAAAGAGGAACAGGATGACAGCAATGTTCAGGGAACAAGAGATATAACCTTAAACTCTGACTGCCGGTGAGCCAAGTGGAACAGAGCCATATTTCTCTTCTTTCAAAAGCAAATAGGAGAAATATTGCTGAATTCTTTTTCTCAGTAAGAAACATCCCTGAGAAAGAGAATGCATCCCTGAGGGTAGGCCTCTAAATGGCCCCCTTGCGGGCAGCTGTCTTTTACGGTGGAAGCCAAAGGGATGAAATAAGCCCCGGTCTCCTGTAGCACTCCCAGGCTTATTAGGATGAGGAAATTCCTGCCTAATAAATTTTGGTCAGACAGGTTGTCTGCTCTCAAACCCTTTCTCCTGATAAGATGTTATCAATGATAATGCGTGCCTGAAACTTCATTAGCAATTTTAATTTTGCCCCATCCTGTGGTCCTGTGATCTCACTCCGCCTCCATTTGCTTTGTGATATTTTATTACCTTGTGAAGCATGTGATCTCTGTGACCCACACCCTATTCATACACTCCCTCCCCTTTTGAAAATCACTAATAAAACCTTGCTGGTTTTATGGCTCAGGGAGCATCATGGAACCTGCCAACATGTGATGTCTCCCCTGGACACCCAGCTTTAAAATTTCTCTCTTTTGTACTCTTTCCCTTTATTTCTCAGACCAGCCAACGCTTAGGGAAATAGAAAATAACCCACATTGAATTTTGGGGGTGGGGTTTTCCCTGATATTTGCAGACAGCCCCTTCTCTGCTGTGCTGCCTGTTGTACCCTTGCAACATATTTTCTTACTTTCCCTAATAAATCTGCCTTTCTTTACCTATGACTGTCTTGGTAAATTTCTTTACCACCCCATGTCATGGGCGGTAAATGAATTTACCAGCCAGTTGCACCCACGACAGGAATAATACTATGGTAAAAGCCAGGGTGAGGTACCCTCTGTGAAGAATACTTAATTATGAAGATACCATTTTCTTCAGAAAACAAAATCGTATACTAAACAACCAACATGAGAGAACCTTCAATCTTTTAAATGTTCCTGGGCAATGTGGGGTGGAGGTAGAGGAAATATTTTTTTCTGTACATCTTAGACAGGCAGGAGAAAAAGAGCCATTGCCCAAACCAGAAAGGCCAGAAAGATCTCACGTGTTAGTGTTAGTAATAGCATTTCCAAAGTCTCACCAACTCCCTCCTGCCCATAAGCCAGGGAACAGCTTCTGCGAACCTGATCAATTCTTTGCCTTTGCATTTTTCTATATGGAAGATTCAAGCCTCTTTTATGATATTTTTTGGCTTTCTTTCTTCCTTTTTCTTTTTAATTTTTGAAAACATATATTCTCTCACTCAGAGCCACCATGTCATGTGGATGTTTTTTCTTTGTCTTTCTGCAGTCATCTATATTGTATGTTTGTGCCTGGTTTCTAGTAGTAGGGGAGTGAGACAGAGCAGTTCTGATTGTCTCTTCCTCTTTAGATGGGCTACAGCAAATCTGGCCAGAATGCACAGGGCATCCTCACCAGGCTGTACAGTCGTGCTTTCATCATGGCAGAACCTGATGGGTCCAATCGAACAGTGTTTGTCAGCATTGACATAGGCATGGTATCTCAAAGGCTCAGACTGGAGGTAAGTGATTTGAGAGGAGAAAGGAACAAAGAAATGATATGGTTTAAGGAAAAGTGGATGAATGTGACAGGAACTAATTCCTCTTGGTTTCTCATTCATTGAAATTCTACTACCTTCAATGTTATAGACTCTTGACAATATAGTAGATAATCTTACAAGGAGAATGATCCTCACTATTTCAGTCTAAGTTATCTTGGTCAAAAGTTGCTTTCAATTCTGCTGATGACTCATTGTCATTATTAATGCTAATGTTTTTATTGAAAGTTTATAATGTGCCAGGTTACATTTTTATATATATATATATATTCCCTTATTTAATTCTCCTTGTTAGAAGTTGGGAGAGTACCAATTAATCACTAAGCCCTTCCTCAGGTTCTCAGACAATTGAGAATACATGTGAGGAATCAGATGTGAATTAAAATACAACATTGAAATGAGGTTGACCATGAATTAGTAGTTATAGAAGCTGGGTAATAGGTACATAGGGATTCATTATAGTATTCTGATTGTTTTTGTATGGATTTGAAATGGTCAAATCCATACAAAAGGAGGAGGAGGAGGAGGAGAGAGGGAGAGAGAGAGAGAGTGAGAAAGCGAGCAAGCAAGCAAGCGACTGATAGAACTTCCAATTCTATCTTTCTAAGGCAATTTCTAAGCCCTGACACAGTTATATTTTCTGCATGGGATCGGGTCACTAAGAGAGAATGTGTTCTGTTAATGTCTGCTCACATATTCATGAATGTGAGAAAGAGGAGCGCTGGATCTTTGACCAGAACGATGACCATAAAGGTCCATTATGCAATGTCAGGTTCTGCTAGCCTCACCTATTAAACACTTTTCTCCTCATGCCATGTGAAGGGGCCAGTGAGAGGGATGATGAGATGGCCTAAAAGCATCACTTTAACATTGTTCCCTCTTGGGGAGGAGAGTTGAAGCCTCCCCCATCTGCGGAGACATGAGGACAGGGGATGAAGTGTCTTCTCCACTCCTGCACTTACCACAAAACAGTGAGGTGGCTTTGTTGTTATTTCTATTTTCTGGATAAGAAAACTGAGTCTTGGAGAAGATAGGTAACTTTTCAAATTTCACACAGTTAGCAAATGGTAGAGCTGGATTCTGAACACAGGTATGATTAATCCCTGAGTCCATATTCTTTTTTTATTTTTTTGTCATTTTTAACTATACTTTAAGTTCTGGGGTACATGTGCAGAACGTGGAGTTTTGTTACATAGGTACACACGTGCCATGGTGGTTTGCTGGACCCATCAACCCGTCATCTACATTAGATATTTCTCCTAACGCTATCCTTCCCCTAGCCCTCCATCCACCGATAGGCCCCAGTGTGTGATGTTCTCCTCCCTGAGTCCATGTGTTCTCATTGTTCACCTCCCACTTAAGAGTGAGAACATGTGGTGTTTGGTTTTCTGTTCTTGTGTTAGTTTGCTGAGAATGATGGTTTCCAGCTTCATCTGTGTTCCTGCGAAGGACATGAACTCACCCTTTTCTATGGCTGGATAGTATTCCATGGTTTATATGCGCCACATTTTCTTTATCCAGTCTATCATGGATGGACATTTGGGTTGGTTCTAAGTCTTTGCTATTGTGAATAGTGCTGGAATAAACATGTGTGTGTATGTGTCTTTGTAGTAGATACATTCTTAAAAGTGACATTATTCTATACTCTTAGAGGGAAAAATGCATTGACCACTTGCTTTTTGTAAGGTACTTTGCTAGTGTCACTTCAGGGGACACATAACTAAGTAAGTCATAATTCATCTCCTTTATGAGATCATTTTCTAGTTGGTGGATAGAAGGAAGGACTGTGAAATATAGAGGTATACAGAAGTATACAGATAGCTATAATTAACTGAAGGAAGGTAAGGTAGGATAGTAATTGTCTATTACTGGGTAGGAAATTACCCTAAACTATATGGCTTAAAACAACAAACATTTATTATCTCGTATGATCTATAGGTCAGGAATTCTATCTTGGCTAGGTGGCTCTGGTTTAGGTTCTATGGCAATCAAGGTGATGGCAAAGGAGGAGTCATCTGAAGGCTTGACTCAGGCTTGAAGGTCCACTTCCAAGATGGTTTGTTCATGTGACTGTTGGCCAAAGGCCTCGGTTCCTCACTCTTCCTATCCTTACGACACAGTAGCTAGATTCCCTCAGAGTGAGTGACCCAAGAGAACGAGCAAGGAGGAAGCTACAGTGCATTGTATGACCCAGGTTTAGAAGTTATACACTATTACTTTCACCCTGTTCTATTCATTAAGCAAGTCACTAAGTCTAGCTCACACTCAGTGGTGAAAAAGTAAGCTTTACTTCTTGAAGGGCAAAATATCTGACTTTGTGGACATATGGTCTTTTAAGATCACCAATGGGGATTCAAGAAATGCAAATTAGGAAAACATTTTCATGGTAGAAATAACACTTGAGTGAGCAGAATTTTAAATGGTTAGGATGGGAAGGGAGAGAAATCTGATGGAAAAAACAGAATGAACACAGAGAGGCATGAAGGAGGGATGTAGACTCTTTTATGAGGGAAGAGAGGAGATCTATTAGGACATATGGAGGCATGTAGTTGGGGATGTATCTGGAAGATATGTTTATCATAATCGCAGAGGGCCTGAGATGCCGGCTTGTTTTTAATTCTGTGGGTGATATGGACTCTGAGAAATCTTCTGAATGGCAGAGTGATGTAAACACCATTTTGTTTTAGGATGATTAAGCAGGTAGAGATGTTTGATATGGATTGGAATAGAGTGGAACTAGAAGTGAGGACAAAAATTAGCAGACTCTTTAAAGTGATACTGAGGCTCTATTGGTGAGGGTCCAGTTAAGAAAACAGTAATCATCATACTAGGTATTTCAAACAGAGGTATTTCACCCAGGGGAGTTTTATAAGATGTTAAAAGGCTGAAGGAACAAGAAAGGGAAACGAGTTGCTGGAAGGGTTTTTATTTTTTATAATTTTGCCTAACAATTTCCCCCTTTATCATGTGAGGCTGGCACAAAGATCTTAAACCAATGTGATGTCAGTGAGACTACATGGTGGTGGGATAGGAAATTAAATGTGAGTCGGCCGGGTGCAGTGGCTTACATCTAAAATCCCAGCACTCTGGGAAGCTGAGGTGGGTGGACCACTTGAGGTCAGGAGTTTGAGACCAGCCTGGCAAACATGGTGAAACCCCATCTCTACTAAAAATACAAAAATCATCCAGGCATGCCGGCAGGTGCCCGTAGTCCCAGCCACTTGGAAGGCTGAGGCAGGAGAATTGCTTGAACTTGGGAGATAGAGGTTGCAGTTAGCCGAGGTCAAGGTCACTGCATTGTACTACTCCAGCCTAGGTGACAGAATGAGACCTCTGACTCAAAAAGAAAGAAAGAAAGAAAGAAAGAAAAAAAAAAAAAAAAAAAGAAAGAAAGAAAGAAAGAAAGAAAGAGAGAGAGAGAGAGAGAGAGAGAGAGAGAGAGAGAAAGAGAAAGAAAGAAAGAAAGAAAGAAAGAAAGAAGGAAAGAAAGAAATTAAATGTGAGTGAGATTTGGACATGAATATACATAAAAGCCAATACTTAACGTAATATTCATGCTGAGTCTGAAACTCTTGTCAGTGCCTTGTATGGATTAGTGTACTTACTCCTCCAAACACCTCTATGAGGGAGCTATTATTATATCATTTGACAGATTGAGAAACCAAGTTTGCAGAGGACTGAGTAACTTATCCAAGGTTGCACAGCTAGGAACTATCAGAGCTAGGATTCAAACTTAAGCATCTTGGTGTCAGAATTCATGCTCATTTCTACTATACTATACTGCTTTTCTGAAAAATGAGATGGCTCTAATTGGGAAATAGTATGGTCATTAGCAGAAATGAAAGAACCAAAGGTAGACTTTGACAGGTAGAGTGGGGAGGAGTTTAATGTGTTTGTTTGTAGAGGCTATCAAGTCAATAGTGGGCACCATTTATCTGTCTCTTCCTATTTTTACATCCTCGTGCAATCTGAGACCCAGTGGGAAGGTTGTTAAATGAACCCACTTAGTTTTCCCAAATTAATCCAAGGGAAGGTGTGAGAAATAAATGTAGCTAAATAAGTGCTATTAAGATTATTTATAACACCTACTTCTATGCAGGTTCTCAGTCTCGGCTTTAAGATAGATGAAATTTCCAGCACAGAATGAAGATTATGGAAGATCTCTGTGCAGTGAGGCAGGACAGGAAAACAGAAGGACTTTCTAGGTTTTTCTATGTCATGCTCCCAAGACTGTCAGCAATAGGAAATGGAATAGAAACTGAAGACAGAAGTGAGCTGTAGACATAAACGTAGCTGCTTTGTCCTGTGTTAAAATGCCCTCCTTTCATGAACTGAGAAACATGTTATTTTCAATGGCTATCTTCCTGGCATTGTTATATAACTAGGTTTTACGTTTTTCTTTTTTTCCCCCCTAGAAGTCCCATATGTCTGGCTTCATATCAGAGATTGTAGTTTAAAATAAAATTCATGTGTACTGTTTGTAGTCTTTTTTGTTTTAAAATTCAAGATTCATAATTTCTGTCTTTTTAAGGGCTTGATACTTGAGTAGACATGAAGAAACGCATTTAATTCTAAAGCCCTAATGTCACAGTTCTTTAGGAATAAATAGGATGGGGTTAAGGAGCTTTAAAGTTGACTTGTGGCTCTTTTTCTCTACTACCTTCCTGTCTTAGCTGTAAATTGTTAAGAACATCAGCTTCTGACTTTAGTTCAGCTTTCCATGGTGTCCCTTCATTGATCATTTTCTCTTCTCTTTACAGACATTTCTTCTTCATGAGTGTGGTAGTTACAGTATAGAATAATATATGAGAGTGATGAGGGATTGGGGCTGGAGTTAGGATCAAACAGAGGGAATATAGAAGGATGTTAATCTAGTTAGATTATACTTCCATTCTGTATTTGTCTTGCATCATAGGATTGCTTATGTGGACATGGTAACCAAACAATCAGTCTTTGGGACATGGAGAGGTTAATGAGGCAAGATGGTTATGACTGGAATGAGAATGGTGTAGATCAGAGGTTGAATGGTTATCTTTATGTATATTAAGTACATAGCACAGAAGCTGCTACTCCCCACTTACCAGCAGTGAGCTGGAACTAGCTTGCACAAGTTCATAAGAGCCAATTTGTAAATATTCGGGAACATTGTGAGCTGGCTGTTAAGCTTTTGGTAGCTTGAAATTGATCATGATGAGGAGTTTTACACCACAGAAATTGGCGAATGCAAATGAGGGCTTTTAATTTTATTGCATGTTCCAGAGAGACAGCTCATCAGAGTGTCTATGCCATCCTCAAGGTAAACATTGTTAACGATTGCTTTGGGTTTGACACTTCTGTTGGATCTTTCCTTTTCTTTAATTAATGTTTGTGTGTACGTGGTACATATATTTATGGGGTACATGAAATGCCTTCATACAGGCATTCAATGCCTAATAATCACATCATGGAAAATGGGGTACCTGTCCCTTCAAGCATTTATCCTTTGTGTTACAAACTGCTGGATCATTTTTAAATTATCTTTTACTAAAAGTCGCAAAGATACCAAACTTTAGATTGCAGCTTATTAAAGCATAAACAGCAACAGGTACTCAGCAACATCACCAGTATTCTCTCTGGTGTTTTCTTGATGTGTCTGCACCATATGAAGACATTAGTCTTGCATTTGGATGTTCATTGATTGACTTATTCACTAAACATTTACTGAGTTTCTTTGTATTAGTTGTTTATTGCTGTACAACAAATCGCCTAAAAACTTAGTGGCTTAAAACAACAATAATACATGTTGTTCAAGGTTTCTGTGTGTCAGGATTCCCAGAGTGGCTTGGTTAGACGATTCTGACTTGTTTTAGAACAAGTTGTATATCATCACTTCTGTGTCACGATGTGGCACTCAGATGCTGGCTAGGGCCGCAGTTGTTTGATGGCTTGACCAAGGCTGAAGAAATTACTTCTAAGGTTGCTCACTCAGATGGCTAGCAAGTTAGTGCTGACAGGATGCTTCCTATCCTCTTAGGTCTCGCCACAGGATTATTAGGGCGTCCTTGCATCATAGGGGATGGCTTCCCCTAGACCAACAAGTCTAAGAGTTCGTTTCAAGGTGTACTGAATTCTTCATCTGGGAAATGAGGTAGTAGAGTAGCTTAAAAACCTTTGCAGTTTCTGCTCACTATACCTGAGTTGCTTTTCCCCCAGATATTGCACAGCCAGCTTGCTTTCTTCATCTAAGCCTCTGCTAAAAGAGTGCCCCTCTTTAGAAGATCTTTCCTCACTAACACCCACTAGTTTCTTTTTCCTTATGCAACAATATTTTTCTTCATAGCATTTATCACTCTATGATATAATATTTAATATTTATTTGCTTGCTTACTGTCTTTGTCTTTCATTAGAATAAAAATATCTTCAAGACAGGAACCTCATATATTCTTTTGCTTAGAGCACCTGTTGAATGATGAATGAATAAGAGTACTGGTTCTCTAGTTAGACGTGGGTCTGGAGTCTGGCTCTGCTACTTATTAGATCAACAGGCAAATTATTTAACTTTTGTATAATTCAATGTTCTCAGCTAAAAATGGGCTTAACAATACCTGTGTAGCTCTTGAAATTGTAATAAAGATTTTTAAATACATACTATATATAACATACCTAGCATTGTGTTTGCTCATAGCAAGAATCTGTAAAATGTTAAGTATTGTTATTATTATTTCATTGTTATTACTATGATAATATCCTCAAACATAGAGTGAGGGGCCATTTGAAAGGAATGTTAATATAGTTTGGCTGTGTCCCCACCCAAATCACATCTTGAGTTTCAGTTCCCATAATCCCCATGTGTCGTGGGAGGGATCCCATGGGAGGTAATTGAATCATGGGGGTGGGTACCTCCATGCTGCTGTTCTCATGACAGTGAGTTCTCACAAGATCAGATGATTTTATAAGGGGCTTTCCCCTCTGTCACTCTGCACTTCTCCTTCCTGCCATCATGTGAAGAAGGACATGTTTACTTCCCCTTCTGCCATGATTATAAGTTTTCTGAGGCCTCCCCAGTCATACTGAACTGTGAGTCAATTAAACCTCTTTTCTTCACAAATTACCCAATCTTAGGTATGTCTTTATTAGCAGCATGAGAATGGATTCATACAGATGTTATTGGTACAGATCAGTGATTGAACTCATGAAAGCCTTTTCTCATGTTGAGCTCCTATGTTATCCCTCTTCTTAGTTCAATTCCTTTTTTTCTTGAAGGTCCTGAACAGACTGCAGAGTAAATATGGCTCCCTGTACAGAAGAGACAATGTCATCCTGAGTGGCACTCACACTCATTCAGGTCCTGCAGGATATTTCCAGTATACTGTGTTTGTAATTGCCAGTGAAGGATTTAGCAATCGAACTTTTCAGCACATGGTCACAGGTATCTTGAAGGTAGGCAAAGAGCTCCAGAGGCAGCTGTTCTTTACCATTGCTTATAAGTATTTTAGGAGTGATTGGATGTAATATGAAGGGTCCCTATAGGATTTGAGTCTGAGCATAGTATTAGCATGTACCATTTTTTCTCCTCCCTGCCTCTCTCTTAGCTTCTGGTTCTGAGCTATGGGCTGTTGGGGCTGAGGCATGGATGATTGGAAAAGAAGGCTTCTATGGGAGTAAGCCCGATGTAGTTATTTAAACAGACAGAAAACATTTTGGTTTGGGGTTCTTTGTAGAGGGCACTACATAGTCTGTTCTATGCACAAAGTCACACAAAGAGAAACCCATGAAGGAGCTAAAAGTAATTACAAATGATTCTAAGATTTTAAAATATTTCCCAAAGTACAAAGAGAATCCAACTTGTAAATACACATCCCAGTTTTTCAAGTTCTCTACTACAGATGCAGACCTCCATGGTGCTCCTGACAAATACCCTTAAACTCCTCTCCTGTTTCTGGTTTGAGCTTATACTCCTCTCTTTTCTGTCTTCCAGCTTATTATTTTGTTACATAGGATCCTTGCTAATGTTTTGCTTCATTTTATTGTATTCCAGGCTTATTCTCTATTTTTTTCTTACAGTGTCACCCCCAAAATTCAGGGATCCAGCTAGCATAGGCAGAAATTGCTTTACAATGATGTTTTGCAAACTGAGGCTTACAATGTATTAAAGGCTTACGAAATCAATTGTATGGGTTGCAAAAAACATTACAAAAAAATGCTAAAAAATAGATTGTAAGATATAATGTATAACACACAGTCAGGGTATAGTTTGCTTTGTGAACTTTTGTTTTGGGATGCATATGTTGATGTGTATTAAGCTATGATGAAAAATGTATTTCTCACTGTAGTTCACAGTCAAAAAAGTTTGAACAACTCTGCCTTGGTGGTAGAATGGCAAGGGTAGGGAGGTGGAAACACATGTTAGCAAAACTTGTATTAGTGTTGTAGGAGTCAAGTCTCCCATTTTGGCTATCTGAAGTGACAAATTGAGCTTCATTTAGCAGTCTGGAGAGACCAGCAGATGAGGCTTTTTGTGAGCTCAGGCATTAATCAGTACTGTGCTTCCACACAACATGGCATTTCCTTTATCTTAACCTTGAAAACCATTTCTGTTTACCTCCAGAATGGCAACAGCAGTGTGGTTCTCCAACTTTTATCCCATAATGTGGACACATTAGAGACAAAGGAAATTGTTCACAGGGCTCTTCTGTTTGTATTGACTAAGTCATTATCCCCACCAGGATTTCTAAGTTTATAACAGCTCCCTCTTTTTTAACCTTCAGAGCATTGACATAGCACACACAAATATGAAACCAGGTAAAATCTTCATCAATAAAGGAAATGTGGATGGTGTGCAGATCAACAGAAGTCCCTATTCTTACCTTCAAAATCCGCAGTCAGAGAGAGCAAGGTGAGGAGAAATCTTCAAAATGATATCGTTTCATTCCCTTTAGGGAACAGCAACAAAATCTAAGTACAGGGCTGTTACTTGATGAATATGGTGAGGTCCTAAGAGAATATTACAGCTACAGTGTCTTAGAAACATCTTTATAATCTAAGACAAGTAGAAACAAAAAGTAATGTAGAAACAAACACCAGTTTATTCAGGAATCTTTCCACTTTGTTGATTATGGGAGCCAGGGTGGATGCTTGAAGTACTCTGGGCTTTGAAATCAGGAACAACTGTGGTCTCAGCTTAGTTTTATTGCTTTCTAGTTATGCGACCTTTAGTGATTTACTTATCTTAATTTATTGTCACTCAGCTTCTTCATGAGTAAATGGAGATAAAAATGTGCACAATGTATATTTATTAAATTAATGAATAGCTCTTTTATTATGTGTTATCCAGAATAAATCATCTTAGTCCACAAGAGTGTGGCTAGACAGAGAAAATAAAAGGATAAAGAATGTGGACAGAAGAGTAAGAAATAAACCCACATATTTGAATGGAAAAACCAAGGGAGAGCATTATTTTGCCTTTTTGTCTTTTTTAAAGTGGTGAACCAGGTTTGTGACAGAAGAGAAGTGCTTGGTTACTGTAACACTGTAAAATAATATCACAGTTTTAACTTGACCACTTGACATTTTACATTTTTCTGCATATTTTTCAATAGCTTTCAAAGGAGATGATTTTTAGAAAATGTAATCTGATTTCCCTTGATAGGACATAAAAGAACACTTAAGTTGCAGGTCTTGAATGCTTTTGATTTTGCAAATTCCCTGCTCTTTTAAAGAGATTTCATTAAAAATTGATATGAGTGGAAATTTCAAAGACAAATCTCTTTTGTTAAGAAATACCTATATGTTATATAATATTGTATATTATATAAAAATATGTGTATTTCAGCTCCAGTTACTTGACCCTAGTCCCCCAAACTTTGATCGCAATTACATACCCTTTCCTTAGCTGAGAAATGAGGTACTGGATGCAGTTCACAGAACTACTGTTTGTTAAGACATCTCACTTACTGAGAAGCATTTTTGTTTTTGTGTCAGCTGCTACTGTTCATCTTACATGAGGGTCAGTCTCTAACACAGAACTGACTGTGCTTTTCTGTTTTCCTGACTAGGTATTCTTCAAATACAGACAAGGAAATGGTAGTCTTGAAAATGGTAGATTTGAATGGAGACGACTTGGGCCTTATCAGGTACTCTATTTCCTTTTTAAAAATAATTCTGTCTGGGTAGCTTTTCTTAGTTAAAGAGAGGGGAAAAGAGACCAGAATAGTACCAGCACACACTGAGAATAAGTTGTGTGGTTAAGAGTCCAGGCTCTGGAGTCAGACACAACTGGGGTCCAGCCATGGGCCTTGTACGGGGTTCTCAGCCTCTCAGGGCTTAGTTCTGCACTTGCAAAACAGATTTAATACAGGGATGTTAAATGAGGGATCTTGGTGAAGAGCTTGGCACAGCATCTCACATATGATGTAAAAACTCAATAAACATTAGTGCTTATTATGTTATCAAGATCTCACATGTGGAGCTTCCATGATGGTAAACAGTTCTCTCCTAATAAAATGAAAAATAATCTGACCAACCAGGAAAGTGATTATGTTTTTGAGATTATTTACCTGTGTTTCCCTAAAAGGATTAAGTCCAATGTAGGACAATGCCAAGTAGGGATAAAATAGAACTGAGAACACCTAAAGGAAGCAAGTGAAGGAAAATTACAGCTGGGGCCAGCTTTTAGCACCGTTATCTGGGAGTGACAGCATTTAGGAAAGCACATGGATTTTGTTTTCTTGAAAATAAGGCATTTGCATTCATATGTGATTTTGGTTACTGCAACTGGCCTGACTCAGGAATTGACTGGGTGGGTAGCGTAGTTCCAGACTCTTTGACCTATGGACTTGCAAATGATGCAGACATGCCCTAGGGAAGTATCAGATAGAGCTGGGTGCTAGAGTCAAATGGTTTGGGTTCGCTCTGGGCTCTTGTCCTTATTAGCAATGTGACTTTAGACAAGTTCTGTGACTGTCTTCCTGTTTCTCATCCCTAAGTATTTTTGAGCATACTGTGGGATAAAGTAAGTATTTAAAATATTGATAATAATGATTAGAAAGATGATAAAGGGTCTGCCAAATAGAATTATAAAATATCTAAGTGAAAGACGCTATGTGAATAAAACTCGCAGTAAAAGTGACAAAAAAGTGGTGAAGAAAAACATTAAAAACTATGATTCACAGTTCACACACCAGAGTTGGCCCTAAAAGTAGGTCACGAACAACATGGTAATAAAAAGTTCAGGTCTTAAGGTAAGGTTAACTTGGCTTCAAATCCCAGCCCTCTGCCACTTACTAACTCTGTGGCCTGGAGAAAGTAACTCAATCCACTTAGACCTTAACTATCCTATTCGAAAATGGGAATATTAATACCTCATAGGGTTGTCTGAGGATTAAATGAGATAATGCATACACAACTCTAGTTCTGTGCCTAACACAGAAAAAAGTTTAATCATTTTAGCTAAAAAGGAATAGAAAACATACTCTACCTCTTCTAAAAAATTCCATTATTAGAATGCTTGCAATTCTTAGCATTTGAGTTCCTCTTTTGTGTTAAAAGTGAAGTCACTAAAAGCTCCCTAATAAAATTTGCTATATGGGCTGACATAATAGGACTTATTCTTCTATTACAATGAATTTATCTCTTGATTAGTTGCCCCTTAGCATTTATTTAACTCAGCACACTTTCTAAATGTCAGGCGTGTAACTGTGTGAGTGGGGTATGTTACGATGAATAAGGTATGGTTTCTATCTATAAGGGTCTCACAAGCCAGTGGGGTGATTGGGGCAGGAGACAGAGATAAATAGATAGACAAATAACCATAACATGAATCAGATGACCACCAGTACTATCACATGGGCATAAATAATTCTGTGAGAGTTTGGAGGAGGTAGCCCTGAGTTTTTCCTGAGAGCTCTGTGGAAGGCTTCCAAGAGAAAATGACATTTGAACTGGACCTTCAAGGGATCATGGGATTTCTCACGGGGTCCTGAAAAACAGAGGGAGTCATGAGGCCAGAGTGTGGGTGAGGTCAGGGTGTGGGTAAGAGGTGGACTGGAAAGGTAAGACAGGTCCTGATTCTAGAGCACATTAGTGGGGCATTCAGTTACAAGAAGGGCAGGATAAGAGCATACATCTCTGCTAGTTACACTGAGTATCCCAAATTTGTTGGGACAAGGAGATAGAGTCGCCCTTATAGTTTCTATTTAACTCTTGGCTGAAGGACCAAGACCATTTACAATTCCCTTTTAGCAGCGTTTGAACCTTTTTTTTTCTCTTTTTCCCTGAGACAAGCTCTTGCTCTGTTGCCTAGGCTGGAGAGCAATGGTGTGATCATAGCTCACTGCAGCCTCAAATTCCTAGGCTCAAGTGATCCTCCTACCTCAGCCTGCTTAGTAACTGGGACTACAGGCGCTCACCACCACACCTAGCTATTTTTTTATTTTTATTTTTTTATTTTTTGTAGAAATGGGGTCTTGCTTGTTGCCCAGACTGATCTCAAACTCCTGGCCTCAAGTCATCTTCCACCTCGGCCTTCCAAAGTGCTTGGATTACAGGTGTGAGCTACTGCACCTGGTCAGTTTTTGAATCATTTAATAACTGGAACAGAAAATTCAAAAATACTATTCTTTTGGCCAGATGTTCTTTGCTTCCCTACATACAATTATAGCATGTATCTGGAAGTTCTTCGGTCAACTGTCAAGGTTATAGCAAAGCTTTTCCATCTGTTGTGCTTAACACCCTGCAATTGTTTCTGTAGCTGCCGTATGTTATCTTTGATGTAATTGCTCCTGCAATTGCCTCTTGTTTCATAGTGTAATTGCTCTTTGAACACGTTAAAAATGATCCAAAATATAAAGTCAAATCTGGGCTGCTAAGTAACTCACCCACCACATGTAGGTGCCTGCTGTTAGACAGAATCCCAAGGTGAGAGGAGTTTGGAAGCACAGCAACTCAGAATCACAGAACATGGAGATGACCTAGTTCAACCTTCAGCAGAGGAGTAAGGGCCTAGAAAGGTGATGTGACCTGCCCAGCATCACAGCCAAGATTATCTTCTTCACAATGAAAACCATATTTGAGTTCATAATTCATTCCTTCTTACTTTCATTTTTGTTTTCAGTTTTTCATTCAGCAAGTCTGTACTAGGGACCTACTATGAGCCATGTAGTACCTCCTTGGAATGATGTATTCCCTGGCCTTGAAATCAGGAATCCAGTACCTTGGAATCTAGTACCCATATTTGTACTACTGGAATGAATCCCTTAAACTCTCTGAGACTCAGTGCCATATTTTCAAATGTGGCTATCATATCTTCTCTCCACACAGAAATTATTATGGGATACACTGATGAACAAATACACATGGAGTTGCTGCCCTTATAGGACTTCAGTCTACTGAAGGAGACAGCAGTCATACAGATAGGCATACAATACATGTAAAATTATAATTGGGCTCAGTGCTAAGAAAGGCAAATATGTAGAACTATCTTAAAGGAATTTGACCTTGTCTGAGAGATTGGGAAAGGTTTCCCTGAGGAAGTGACAACAATGGGAGCTGGAAACTGGAGTAGGAATTAACTGGAAAAATGGGGGGATTGGAAAAGAACATTTAACACAAATGGGGAAGCATTTGAAGAACTGGTAAAAGGTGTGTGTGGCTGGAGTGCAGGGGTCAACGGGGCAGGGTGATGCAAGACAAAGTAAGAGATAGAGATTAGATGGCATGACAAAGAATTTGTTGTTTTATACCAAGAGGAATGAAAACTCATTAAAGTGTTTCAAGCTAGGGTTGGGAGTTGGGGCTGTCGAAGGGTTGGGAAGAGTGTAGACTTGAGGAATGAAATAAAATTATATTCCTGGAACTGTTCCATGAACCATTAAGCCCTTTACAATTGTTAGGCCAACATTTGCTCTAGTTGCTCTACGTCAGAAAAATCTATGGTAGAAAATTCTATGTCAGAAAAAAATTGCTATCTTGTACCTTTTTCCCCTTACATGAAAGCATTCAATGTTTTTTCTCCAGACATGGAGAACATGTTTGGGATGTTCTGAATTGTGAATTAAAATATAAGCTGTGTAACATTTACAAAATTCACTTTGGGAGACTCTGTAAGGTACCCCAAAGGGTCTGTCATCCAATGAAGGAGGATAAACAGAACCTTGAGAGTCTCGGATGCAATAAGACACTATGTGTATGAAGAAAACATGAAGGGAGAAAGCAAAACAGGTTTCAAATGTCTACATCAAAAAGAAAGTCACAAGTGCAGATAATCTGAGTGGCAGTTGTGGTCAGTGGAAGAGGTACTACTCATACAGCTACACTTACAAAGGCAGCTCTGAGACAGGTGAGGAGGCCGACTTATTTCTTCAAGGATACTGCAACTGAAAAGGCTTTGTCTTGCTTTTCTTCCCTTTGCCTTCCTCTTTTCTTCTGCCAAGTTTTCTTCCTTGAATTTGCAGCGTCACATGGACTCCTCTTCTCCTTCCTTCTTCTTCTCTTCCCTCTTCTTTTCTTCTTCCTCCTCCTCTCTCCTCATCTCCCTTCTCCTCCTTCTCCTCTTCCTGCTCTCCTTTTTTCTCCTCTCCTCTCCATTGCCTTCTATTTATATATTGCAAACCTTTTATTCTTATAGTTAGTGGTCTTGTAAGGGGGCCCTTTAAAAGCATATTTTTAAAATGACAAGGGCAGTGATTTGTGTAAGCTATTTGAATCATTTGTGTAAAAAGTTAGAAAAATCCTATTTGTGCTATTACACTAATTTATTCGAATGGTATTGACTTACAGAACTCAGTTGCAGTATATATAAAAATCTTCTCTCTCATCTATGACTATGACTTCTTTATTTAAAAACTTTTTTTACATAAAATATTTTGTTTTTAATTGACACAGAATAATTGAATTATTTTTCTTGAATTGTAATGTCTGACTGTTTATTCTCTGTGGCTTTCTCTATTGCAAGTCTACACTTTCCCCTCCATCCACTTAACCCCACTCAAATTGCAAATGCTGAAACCTTAGTGACTGCCCTCTGTCAAACCATTCTTGCTCTCTTGTTTTCATTTCATCTTGTCTTTGTCTTCCTAAATGCCTTCTCTATCATTAGCATGAATGCTGGTTTATAAAGCCTTCCTCTCTGTTTATT